CCCCAAAACCCCAAAACCCCAAAACCCCAAAACCCCATGAGATGAAAATTTAAAGATATTTAACTATATTATTTTAATTGTATAATATTTAACTCAAGATGTTCGGATTCCTCTATATAATTTTGATGCATCATACAACTTTATTAATAATCCACCGAATATTTTAAGCTAAGGGTTGTTCTCAAGTAGATAATTTTAGAATAACCATTTCTTTGGTGTTTTATTTGCACATTATTTCAATATCTAGTGCATAAGAGTTTCCAAAAATAATTGCAAACCCAAAATACAATATTACTATACATGACTTAGATTATGACATTAACTCAAATACAATTATACTTGGGGAATAAAAATCTATTTTGGGGCAAGTTGAAACTATTTTAGCAAAAATTAACATACAAGGTTAAGCTATGCAAGTGATGAGAATGCCTATTTAATAAACTTATAATGGATATTTTATAAAAGTTTACCCAAAAAAAATATTGCTTGCTTTAAATGATACAATATATATATTATACGAAAATCTTTAGTAAAACTTAACCTCAAATATGAGTATAATCTTTGTAAACTCTTCAAGTGGTGTTGTATCCCAGTATATATCAATTAATCCTGATCACGGTTACTTTAAATTAGGAATCGTAAAATACAGTGAGACTATTATTTTTGCACAGTTTTAACATTCTGATCTCAACAAATATTTCTATTAAAAACTGTAGCTTAATAAACAGTCATTTAAATTTGAAACTTAATGGGTCAGAGATTTTAAACTTCCTTCAAATAGTCAATTTTAGTCTAATTTTGAACTATTTGTAAGATAACTTAGTGGTACAAAATTATATAGCTTTGGAACAACTGAAAATTAGTTTTCTGTTTTACGAATCAATATTCTAGAGGCAAGCTAACAATAATAGTAAATTAGTTATTTATCAACAACAAGTTCTGTACCATTACAGTCTTTGTAAACAAGCAGAGGAACATTTATTGAGAAAAATAGAAAATTCATTATGTGTTTCTCATAAAGCACATCAAGTTAGGCAAACCTTGCCATAACTAATGATATCTTCACTAAAGTAGCAGCTTTTCTTATCGATGACATTCTAAGTTCTTATTGGTGTAGGGATATAACATTATAATAATAAGTGTTGGGAATTAATTCTCAGAAGGTATCTGTGCTTTTTGGATCTTAAAGTACTATGATATTAGCAAACATTGAAATTGAATTTAGCATCGACTACAATAATCTAGACTAACAAAAGCTCAAAGCTCATCTATATTATATGAAAAACTATTTAAATTCGATGGAAATTGATTTCAAAACTCTTGGAGCACGCTTTAGTCAAAATAACCCCTTGATGTATAGAATATTCGGAACTTCTACAAAATCTATAAATTGTATTTATAATTAGAAGGATAGATATCAGATTTACTCATTTATATTTAATCAACATGGCTCAAGTAAATGCTTTTCCAGTACTGAAGTTAATGGATCTAGATAATTAGAATAAATTGGAAGAGAAACATGGTAAGCAATAGCTTTTAACGAAGTAGAGAGTTTAGAAAATCTACTTGAGGATTTTGGTTTATTAATATAATTTTTGAATTCATCTGAGCAACTAATAGATCATGACAATTAGTGCCTAAATAATTTGCCTCCTTCATACAAAGTTAGTGATATATACTTTGATTCTTATAAAGATGGTACTTAGATGATCTATACCTTACCTAAATCTCCATACGAGATCTACTAAAATTAAAATTGTTCTTTTAAGTTAAAATACACCATAAATTCAATATTGGATTCTCAGCTTGATTATTCTGGCTCTGATTATCTAAAGTTAACAATATTTAATAAAGAACCAATTAAGTTAACTAAAAATGAATATTAGTTATAAATCATAATTGATTCTTAAAATGTACTTTAATAAAACAGCACAAACTTTACTTTGCATGTAGATATTTGCAAAAAATAAAATCTAGTTGCAAATTATTATCAAAAAACCTACATCTATGAAATAAGCTAGCCATTTATTTTCCAAAACATAGAGGAATTATTTCAGATAAAGAATATCTTGCCTTACTGCTAGGATTAAATTACATATTTACTAGAATAATTTGATAAGAATTAAGCTTTATTTTCAGTTGCAGCTATCACTAAAAATATTCTGACAATATATTCAGCGGATATCTCAACTGCTGGAGATTATTTGCTTTAACTAAATGCATTAATCAACAATGATATTGTCGGAACAATACCAATTTACTTAAAAATAACAGGGGATAAATAAGATTCATTAAACAACCAAAAATTTGCCAATGAAGAACTAAGAAATTGCAATTAAGATGATCTTGTTGCATATACTGAAAAAACTACTATTTTCAAAATATCCTAATGCTTATAAATGATCAGAGCAAAAGGTTACATTATAAACATAAACACCAAAACTATAAAAGAATTCTCTAAAAATATATTAAATGGGTTCTAGTTAAATCCTCACAGCAAAGATATAGGCATATATAAAGTAAAAATCTAAATAAGAGACAGCTAATTCAAGTCATTAAAAGTTTATTATGATTTCAAAGTCTTTGTATAAAAAAGTCTTGATGGTATTTTAAAATGCAGTGAGTAAGATTAAAGATTTTGTAATCCAAGAATAGCAAGAGTCAGTGTTGAGGGTATTGTAGTTTTAAAGTTTCCAAAAGCTATAGTTCCAATTGATAGATAGTTCTATGATAATGCTTCTAATGGTTTATAAATTACTCTCATAAATTAGGAGTATTCAAATGCAACTTTGTTAAAGTACTCAATAATAGATTCGACAAAGAATTAAATCTTAATATAGCTTGTGTTCTAAAATCCAATTGATGTTTCTTAATCTATTCTTGTAAATTAATACAATGTTAATTTATTTTAGGGAAAAGATCAATTATGATTAAGATTTACAGACCATAAATATTTCCGAAGCGAAAATTTAGACTATGAAGTATCAAATGACTTTCAAATTATAACTGAGATACCACCTTAGTCAGTAAATTCTAGTAACTATTTTGATTAATATTTAATTAGCTCTCATGAAGACAATCAAAAAAACATTCTCGCTTCTTGACTCATCTATAACGTCTGGAGTAGTTTCAAATATGATGCTTTCTTTGCTGATTGGCTTGTCTATGAAGTAAATATGGAATTTGATCAGTACTCTATAAATTTTATCACACATACCGATGCTTGCTTTAAATATCCCCTCTAATTTACTAGTCTCCCTATAAACTGTAATAGACATTTCAAATATGAGTATCTTGCCAAAGTCTCTTATTGAATATATATTTTCAGATATTGATTCTCTTAGAGATACTTAATAAGGAAATTTTTAAGTTATGGATATCTTTTAAGAGATTTTAATTTGTAGTCAGGGATTAAATTAACTTTATAAAGTTATGATAATACATAAATAATAAAGAATTTAGGACAGCTAATAATATTATCTATAGGAGCGATATTTATTTTTGGATTTCTTATGCTATTGAAACTACTATCTTAAAAAATTTCGTTGTAATATACAGAATTTGACCATATTAGGATTCAAAAGATGCATCAGTCTTTACAAAATAAAATATTTTTCAGTTCTTTGATTACTTATTTTATGAAAAGTTATCTAAAAAATTATATTAATAGCTTGATTGGTATGAAGAGTGTAAGATATAAGTTAGAATTATGAATTATAGTTTATGAATGGAGATATTGATGATAAAATGTGTATGGTTGTATCAACCACCATCTTTATAATTTACTCATCTTCACCATTTCTGATAATTTTCTTTTTAATTAAAAACAGAAATAGATTTGATAACGATTAGTTTAAAATCAGATTTGGATCATTTTACATAAACATTAAAACCCTTCAATTTTAACATTATATTTATCACGTGATTTACATTATGAGAAGATTTTAATACGGAATAATTATCGTATTTTTGGAAGATTCACCTAATCTTTAACTAATGCTTTAAATTTGGATAAGCTTTATGATGATATCTTATATTAGCTATTGCAAGCCTTTTAATGAGCCAACTGATAATAAAATTGAATGCATGAATGAGTTTACAATTCTCCTTTTTTTTGTCTTTTTAACTACTAATGTGAGTGCTTCATCTGATATTGAAACTCAGTTTATTCTTGGGTATTTTCTGATTGCAATTATTGTTCTAAATGTTTTTGCCAATTTTTTGATGTTTTGTAAAATAAATCTTGAGAAGCTTTATAGAATAATTAACAATTCTCTAGCTAGATTGAGAGTTAAGCAGATTAGAAAAAGTAAATTTGAATAAAATCTAAACAAATCAAGCTAATTTAAAAAAGGATTGACTGATTCTATAAGTTTAACCTCAGATTAGTTTTTTAATCTTGAAGACATCACTAATGATTCAGCATAGATTATTCCAGAACCTAAAAACTAATTTCAGCTTTCGCAATCGTTAAAATAGTAAATAATAAGTTTAAATAAAGATAATGTGGGCGTAAAATAAAAAATAACGAATTAAAATCCTGCTATTACAAACTAAGTATTTGACGTATATGATTATATATTTTTCACTAATAAACCAAAGATAGGAAAAACATTTATGGAAATGATAAATAATAGTTAGATCGATTGTACTTCTTAAGAGAGACATATTTAGTAAAGATTCTATGATTAAATGTATTCTTAAGTTCAAGGCCATTAAATAGAAGAAAGAAAAAAAATGATTTTAAAAATAAGTGTAGCAAATACTTTTAGGAAGGTAAAATTATTAATCTTTTAATCAAAATAGTAAAAATAAGTTAGAATCAATAAAAATCAATGTCATATTGAAGAAAATAATTTCGACTTTGATTGAATTTAATTCTAATGAAGTGGCAATTTTTTTAATTTTATAATACCCTTTAAAATAAAATCAAAATAAGTTAATTTGCTCTAAGTTAATCATTTATCCTGGGGTTTTGGGGTTTTGGGG